CGGATTATCGAGTCATGACTGTATGTGCATACACCTGTGCCTGTCTGGTGGGTTTAGCACAGACAGATTTGCAGGAGGAGGGAAATGGTTCTCACATTCCTGCCTACCCCGGCTTTATATCTGCATGTGTGTTTACACTCTGTACCTGGCTTCATGCATAACACTCTGTTTTTTGCCCTAATCTGTTTTTACTTCATTTCACAAATTAACTCTCATGCTGGGTTGAACTATCTTTAATTTCTGCATGCATGATTTTGGCATCACCTTTGCTGGTACCGTCGGGCCCGCGGAGCACCGTGCACTCCTCTATGCTGCCGAACGGCTCGAACATTTTCCTCACGTCGGCGTCCGTCTGCTGTTTCCCCAGCATGCCCACAAACAGCTTCCTGTCTTCTAAGGGGAAGGAGATCACCAGGATGGGAGGGAGAGGGGGGGAAAAAAACAACAACAGGATAACGTGAGTGAGATTAAAGAAATGATACAAGCAGAAGAAAAAAAGGGGCAGAAGAAGGAAAAAAATTTCAAAAAAAGGAAGAGTTGCCATGTCACTGCACATGCATGAATAACTGAGAGCAACAACAAAACAGGCCGGATGCGAGCCTGCGATACTCGAGGGCGCCACCAGAGTGCAGTAACACGAACAGCACAACAAACAAACAGCATCTGGCGGTGACTCAAATGTTTGTCACCCTCTGTGTTGTCAGAGAAGCTGCTCCGTCTGTCCCCGTCTGTGAAGGATCAGACCAGTGTTTCTGCATGTTGGAGCCCATTCACTACAAATCACATACGCCTTCCATTCCTGCACGCTGTTCTCCAAAAGAGCACGGCACAGGGCTAGGAGATGCTTTTCTAACCTATTTTTCAGGACCGCTCAGGCTGCCATTTCATTCCAGTTTACTCAAGTCTGGCGTGAAACTCAAATGCCAGAGACGAGAAGTTAGCGAACTCGTCTTTGTTGTTGGGCCTAAATGTCAATGACGCTGCAGGTTAGATTACTTAGAGCTGCCTGTGCGCTGTGTTGATTTAAGTGTTCGGTGATGAAAAGCATTGAATTCGCACACAATCGATGCCAGACAGCAAATAGGAAAAGTGGACCATGTGAAAAGGAGAATCTGGTGGTTTTCTTGGATGGAAAAGTTGCGGTTTGACAGTCAGGCCTTGAATTTTGGACACGTCTTTTCTTCTCACAGCCACAATAACACGCTAATTATTACAAGTATTCCTATTTTTTAGCCACAAAAAAAGGCCTCACTGCAAGCAAATATCTGTTTCTGCAAGTTAATGTACCTACAATGCTAAAACAAAAGAAAACCAAAGGATTACTAACAGTACAAAGTGATTTTAATGAGCTACAAAAGAGAAAAAATGATCATCTTCAAGGTAGTGTAAAATCAAATGTAGAAAATCTGAACTGACTTTTAAGGACAGTGGACAGCAGGCGTTTTGATTTGTCACAGTGTGACAGCCAGCCAACGTGCACAATACCGGGACCCTGAAAGCGAAGCAGCTATATGGAATCCAGCCATCAGTAATTTTATCATCTACACCTGTGCTTCTCCTACTGTGCCATGTCCAAGTGCAGCGAAATAACAGGCCTTATCAGAGACAGAGGATGCTGTGAAAAGGAGATTTGGATTATTTCTTAGACATCAAAGTCCAAGCGATGCGTCTGTCAACTCCATTTGGATAATTTTTTTTTTTTTAAAAAACAAAAAAAACCCAGTACTGGCTGAAGTTGTGAGTCCAACAACTGCCACTAAACTACGGTACACTTTGGAAAAATGGGCAAAAGCAATGTATAGTATATATATATATATATGTGAACACTGGATCCACAGACAGACATCTAGTGGACTGTGACAAGACATTTATTGAATTTGGCAAAAATTGCATTGGATTAGAATCGCTGACTTTCCCTTCAAGTCTTTAGAAAGAGCTTAAAATATAAAAAATGTGCTCAGAAATGTAGAAAAATGGGTGAAAATGAACCGATTAGGTGATTAATCAGCTCCTCTGTGAGAGTGAGCTTTGTTAGCACTTCCAGCAGCAGATTCAATGTGATTTAACAGCTTTAAAGGACTAATATTGGGACCCTGTTTTTTTTTTAGAAAATTAATCAAAGTCTCTACAGTTTTTCAAGTCTAACTGCTGCAAAGATGGTTCATTTCACCATCACACTGCTGCTGTTCACGCCTCTTTCAGGAAGAAAACTCTCTCTGCATCTGGCAGCTTTGAGTTGGATGACTATTGGTTAATTACACTGCAAAAAAGGTATCCCAAATATAAGATATAAACATTAAATCTGACAAGAAAATGACTTAAAACTTGTGAAATTATCCGTCCATGCAGTGAGTACATTTTACTGGATAAGAATTCTTGAAATACAATTTTTAATGCTCAATTTAAGACTGTACTGCAAAATCAAGGACTAAAAATTAGAAAATAACTTTTAAAACAAGCCAAATTATCTATCGTGTCTTAAAATAAGATTTTAAATCTTGGCAAGTTCCAGATTATTTGCAGTGTAGGTGTTTCACAGCATTTAGGTGGAAAGTCAGGAGGCTAACCAGTAGCTGGGGAGGACCTGAAGAGATGTAAATAGCTTCATATCTTTTATTTTACAAGTTTAACCATAAAACACAACAAAAATGCATCTAAAGCTTTAAAGCTGTGCGGCGTGTGTGATGACGGCAACTAAACATCTTAACAAGCTGCTGAATCTACGACTAAACGATCATCTGCTTAAGGAATGATGAAATCTTGGACATTTTAGTGCAAGTCACATTGTTTATAGACTTCGTTTCCTTAAAAATTGTATTTTAAAAAATGGAAAATATCACGTGATATCTTTAATATGGTGAGAATTTCTTTGACTAATTAACTGCAGCAGGAAAAAAATGGGAAAGTTGGATTGTGTACATTAAATCTGTGCAGCCATCATTTGTTTAATGTGGATTTTCTATCTTGATATGAGCATCAGGAGGACACACCAGAATGTTAAGGGTCTAGTGATGTGCTCCCCTTATATTTTTATTCCTTGCTGTATTTTTATTTATTTTAATGGCCCTTATCTCTTTTTTTTTGTGAATGCTTTTATTAAAATTGTCGTGTGCAGAAGCTCATTTGACTAAAATCTTAACACAAAACACACTGAACTTGAAATTTCCCTCCTTGCGAGGGTCGAGACTAACTGACGTGTAAACACCACGCTCGTGTTGGGTGGTTGGCGCTGTAAAAAGGTGTCGCTGTTTGAACAGGTGCTGCGTGTCTGGGTGGGGACAGGTGTCTCTTACCCCCTCTGCTCTCGCTGTCGGCTGGCTTCACTTGGATCGGGCGGTTCATCTGCAGAAAGGAAGCAATTTAAATGCACAGGTCAGGAGCGGTGAGCAACACAGGAGAGGGAAAAAAAACAAAACAAAACAAAATGAATTTATATGGCAAAAGGGCTTACAAGCTAGAAATAAACTGGCACTAATTGGAATTTGAGCGTGGCATTTAATCAAAACGCACCCCCTGCTGCCTGGTGAATTACAAAACGTGATATTTATGTGTACTGGCTTCATGTAACCTTTCATGTAAATGTCATTATTGCTGTCACGCGACGTAATAATGACAAATTTGTATGGATGTTTGTGCATTTGTTTCCTATATTTAACGTCTTTCCTTTCCTTTTTTTTTTTTGGCCAACTCTACTCCAGCAGACCCGGCTGACACTGATATGTGTGATACTACATTTGCAGTGTCATTCAGTCTCTCTTTCTCTCCCTAACTCCTCTCCCTCTCTCTGAGTCTCTCTCAGAATCTGCTCTAATCCTGCCGTCTATCGGTCCCTCTCCCCCTATCACACAAAACCAGGAAAAGCACACACCCACGCGGGATTGGGGAAGTGATAAGATTAAGAACACTCGCCAGCTAATCTGGATTAAAGGAGCACGCAGCATCAGAGCAGGGAGGGGAGATTGTGAGGCTGACAGAGAGGCAGAGACGGTTACAGGGGAAGGAAACCATAGTCGAGAGAAATAAAAAGAGTGACGAGGAAAAAGCAGAGAACGCACAACACGAGAGGGATTATGTAACCTTTTCATAATTCACTGCCTTTACTTCTCCAGTCTCCTCCCCACTATTTAAATAAGCCCCCTATGTGAAGCCGTGCACACATCAGCGCCTCGGCAGCTTGTCCTTCAAAATGTATAGAAAGAAACACGGTGAATAGAGGTATTGAATGAGGTGAAGAAAAAGAATGAACAAGAGAGGCGGTGGTGGTGGTGGGAGGGGGGAGAAGGGTGGGATTGAGAGGGGATTGAGGGGAAGTAGAGGAGCATATGGAGGAAAGGGGGGGTGGGAGGGATGAGGGATGAGGAGTCGAGGTGAGAGCAACACAGTGACACTCTGTTAACTGTGGCTTAATGAAGGTCTTAATTATGGAGCTGGTGACATTTCAGCCAGTCACTGATCCGGTGTCACTGATTGATCCGCTGTGATCGGTCACCAGGAGACACTATTGATCGGCGCCGCGGTCGCGCTCCGCCCGCCAGGACCCGCATGAACAAACACCGAGTACAGAACCACCGGCTGAAAGCAGCACCGAAGGGCTCCTGCGGCTCCTCAACGAGAGCCTCCAATTGATTGCACCAATTAATGGGATGATGGAGGGGCCAAAGTCTCAAAACCATCTTCCAATCAGTCAAGCAAATGGAGGTTCTGCTCCTGCAGTCAGCGGATGGTAATTTTAGTTTAAATTATATAGTGAAAGTTTTGTCCTAACGTACCATTTGCTGCAGTGAAGATAACATCATCCCGACTGGGCCTGAATGCTAAAAAACCATGTGGCGAGGCCGAAGCTCTCAACAAACATCACTTATGGTATCACAAGAGGGAACATTCATTGCTCTTGTCCAATGTTTACCACTATACCAATCACTTTTTGTGCTATTTGCACACCTGAGTGCAACAACAGTGTGTGCAGAACAAGTGCGACGTTATTTACAGCTGCACAATATTCTGCACACACTCGCATTACACTCTGGATGTACACGTGTGTCGTTTTAAACTACTCTTCCTAATATTAATCTCACTGTTCCATTTAGTACATGCTGTTCTATGTAGCCAGGATTTTAGGGAGTCCTCCATTCTGTGTTTTAATATCATTGAATATTATTTATTATGCAGGTTTGACGAGAAAAAACTATTTATTTTGATTATGCAGCATCTGTTCAGTTCATTTAGCTCTTGAAGCTTTTTGTTATTCACCTAATGTAAAGGCAAGTTCCATAATTATCACCAAAAAAAATGTTTAAGGTTTGAAAGATTTTTAAAAATGGAGCAAAGAAGGAGGTGCAGAAAATCAAAGCTGATGCATGATATTTTTTCTTTTGCTGATTGAGAACTGTTTCAAGGCACAGGGATGTGACATACAGGCCTGATTCCAAAAATATGAGGTAATGTTTGTACAACTGAAAATAGAAACCGACACAGAGAACAAGATTCTTCAAATCTCCAATCAAACCAAACTTCAGAATCCAACCGGGTGGGGAAAGACACTCAATCTTCGACTTGAGTTAAGCAATCAAAGCTGATGCTACAAACTCGTGGCGTTAGTTTATGTGACATGCTTGGCTGATGGCGTGTTTGAACGGCGTTTTTGAAAAAATCCCCTGGCCCATATTTCGGTGCGGGAAGACAAACAGTGAAGGCCGTGGAGCTGGTGATAAGGAGAAGCGCGGCAGATGGCTCAGGAGATTGGAATTAGAATATACAAGAGGGAAAACTGCGAGAAGTGGAGGCCATCAAGGCTGCGCCACTTCAGATCGGCACGGCAACCGGCCGCTGCCTCTGACGAAGACCGCGCTCACATGGCTGTCGTCATGACAACCCCTAGTGATGAGAACCCCACATCAGGTAAACAAGGTTGCCCTGAACAACGTGCAGGAGAGACGAAGGGAGAGGAGAGAGGAGGGGAGGAGGGGGGAAGAGAAAAAACAAATGAGGAGGACAAAGGGTGCTTCTAGGTCAAGAGATAGGGGGATTAGATGTGGAAAGGAGGGAGGGAAAAATGAAGGAAGGTAAGAAGGAGAAAATAAAACGGGATGATGATGGAGGCAGCGTTCGTGCCTGTTGAATGTTGGCGCTGCCTCGAGAGCAGATGCAGGAGCAGGGAGAAAAATATCTCCCTCTAAGCCTCAACCACTAACACACACTTTACAGTAATTTGCTCTCTCCCCTCCTCCTCCTCCTCCTCCTCCTCCTCCTCCTGTTGCTCCCCTCCCTTCCCCTTTTCTCTCTTAGGCTTGTTTACAAAAACAGTCCCATACTGTGCACAGACAACACACAGGCAAAACCCGCCTGATCAACAACCCATCTCACCAGTGTGTGTTTTATTTTTCTTTCTTTTTTTTTTTTTCTATTTGATTTGCTTTTTTTTTTTCTTCCCTTCCCTATTGCACTCCATCTCCAAACACAGACATTATATACAATCATCCTCCGACGAGCCACACAATGCTCAGTCTGCTCCCGTCGGTCACAGCAAACACGAGCTACACATCTACACATACTTCATCTTTTTCTTTTCTCTGATGCCGCGGGGGGATTTCACCGGGATTATGAGATATTAAATCCATAGATTATCCAATCCAATCACAGCTCGACCCCTTCGCCATAATGCATGACCCCCCCTTCCTCCTCCTCTTCATCTCCCCTTCAAGCCATCAACATTCATAAACACAGAGGAGTGGCACTCGCTACGACGTGTTTTCATCCGCCACGGCAGCACAAATGTGTGTTAGATAGAGGAGCGTTTGCAGTCAGAGTGAGTAAAACATATTGATGATGACATTTTTCTCGCCTTCCCATTATGACCCGCAAAACAGATGATAATCTCTCGCAGCTCAGCGCAGCCCCAGTGTTGTTAAGTCTATACAGTGGGCTGCTGCCGCTGCCGCTACTGCTGCTGCTTCTGTGTGAGGGTGACACATTTCTGCCGCCTGTTTTCTCTCCAATTTCAATCCATTCTGCTTGTCCGCCCCAAAAGGCGGCCACTCTGAATGGTAAATATATCAGTGGAGACCATCACCCCTTTGCTCTTTCAAGAACATTTACAGCAGGGGGGGGGGGGGAGGCAGAGCTGGAGGTGTGTGTGTGTGTGATGGGGGAGGAAGAGGAGAGGGAGGTGCAGCTGGGTGGGGCGGGAGAGGAGGAGGAGGGTGGGCGGTGGGGGTGGGGGGGTTTGGGGGGGGCACAAAGACAATTTTCCGTCTTCGCCTCCCCTCCGCTCCATCACACAGCGCTGGTCATTGCATCGTGCCGGTCGCCTAGCAACCTGGCATCCCTCGTCCCAGCCGTCTCCAGGCAACGAGACCTGCGACCGTAATCAACCTGCCACCTCCCGCCTCTCCTCCCCCCCTCTCCCCTACCCTCCCCTCCCCGCTCTGTTCCTCTCCCATCATCTCTGCTGCTTTTGCTCCCTCGGCTTCTCCATCCTCCATCCTCCTCCTCCATCCTCCTCCTCCTTCTCCTCCTCGTCGCAAAAATGCACTTACGCCGAGACGCACTTGTGAATTCACCCGAGGGAAGAAGAAGAAAACACAGGTGGAAATTGGTATATTCGCAAGCACAGAAAGAAAGAAAGAAAAAAATAATAAAAAGAGAGGAAAGAGTAAAAAAAAAAAAAAAAAAATACAAATAAAAGGGAAAGAGGGAGATTAATAGACGCAGTTGATTGTGCACTCGCAACAAAGAGTTGGAACAAAAGCGACAGAGGCTGGGATGGAAAAAAAAAAAAAGAAAAAAAGCAGAGAGATGCACAAGAGCGGTGTGGTAATGCTTCCACATGTGGATGCACACAAAGCAGAGAGAGAGAGAGAGAGAGAAACCTTCTCCTGAATCCAGCCAGCCGCTAAATCAATCCAACACAAAGAGACTGACAGCTTGTACAGTTTAATAATATTTAATCAATGTCCCAGTCTTCGGAGTCAGAGCCGCTGCCCAGCGTCGTCTCCTACAGGCTTCACTAGTCTGTCCGGTATTAAGACCAAGCTGACACTTCCTGAAGCTGACATTCAGCCGTTTTGTCAGACGGCCAACACACAAAAAAAACAAAAAAACCTCAAAGTGGAGAAACTGTATATCAAAGAGTAAATTTCTAACAACACTCGAGTTGACTCCCAATTGTTTTGTCTCTTCTGGCTGTTAAATATTCATGTCAAGTGCTGTTTGACTCGATTCAGTGGAGCAGAGGGGGAGAAGAACTGAATCACGGACAGATTTCTGTGTATGTGTGTGAGTACAGATAGGGTCCATGTCCTACTTTTTATCTCATTTATTTATTTTTATATTCGGGCACACTT